TTTGATTATACTACAGAGTCCTGTGTCAACAGGATGAAGGCTGATGACTTTCTTGCAGAACATGCTACCTGTGGCACCAGCATTTAGCTGACACACAGAGTCTCTAACTTCACTTAAATGTTTTGTTGCTCCTTTTTCTTGTTCTTCCTCTTTGGGGCATTTTTATAAAACCATAACAGAAATTCAGGGGGTCAAGATTTAATTGTTGAACTTCTGGCTTTGGTGAGATGGGCCCAAACAGTGTTATAGTGTTAATTGGCAAGAAATGGGAGAGAATGAGAGCTCCGTAGGTGAAAGCTCAGTCACAGGAGAAAACAGCCAGTTGGCCCACTATTATGTGGCATTTTCCTGCCTAATTTCTGTCCCAAGGCAAATAGGAATTTGATCTTTGCCCATGTCATAGGAAAGAGGTCACCAAGAAGAGCTTCAATAGACTCCATGTCCTCACTTTTCCTGTAGACTGTGAGTACCATGCCTGCTCTTGGAAGTATTTGAAGATGTGATGATGAAAATCTTGAGAATTAAAAGTGAGGCCGTTGTCAAGATAGTCTGACTTGTTTGTGGCATGGTGGAAAGAGGGAGGCTGGTGGAGAAAGGGATGTGCAATTGAATCAACTATCACTCTCTAAGAATCACCTCAAATATAGTGGTATAAAACAGTCACCATTATTCCTTATAAGCCTATGGTTCTATTAGGAAATTCTGTGAATCTGCATCAGTCTTGGCTGATCTTGGCAAGTCTTCTCAGACTTCCACTTTCAACTGTCAGGTTGGCTGTCAGCTAGCTGGTCCAGGGTGGCCTCGGCTGGGATGGCTTGGCTCTGCTCCACAAATCTCTCACATCTCTCCAGTTAAGTTAGCTACTGTCTCATTAGCCAAATGCATCTCGTGGCAAAGCTCAGAATCAGTGTGGAAAGTCACTAACTAAAACTGTGGATAAAAGGAGACATGGAAATCTGAGTCCATTAATGCAATCCATCTACAATAACAAGTCAATGGCTATGAAATTGGACACTGAAATGGAATATTGGTTGGAGAATAGCAAAATGCCTGGGATAAGAGGAACTGGGGTAGTTCAGGAAAATCAACAGCGTAGTAACAAAGTGAAAGCACATTTGTGCATAAGCACCTGGATAAGTATTTGGGTTGGAGCCTGTGATGATTCAGTCTGCAGGTGACCCCCAGCTGGCCCTCCTACTTTCTACCCAGCAACTTCTCCCCAGTGTGGACTAAGCAGGAAAGAGGACAAGCTCCTAGAAGATAAAAGAGCAGAACCAGTAGGTGCCAATGTTTTCCAGAGTTTTGTTTGAGGCCTGCAAATGGCTTTGAAGACAGGCACAGCTGAACATTTCCACAGCTTCTGTGACCTTACAAAGACTATAACCTCTTGACTATATTCATAATGTTATTTGCATTTCTCAGATCATAGAATAAGAAACGTTCATTCTAAGGGGGAGGAAAAACCATCAAGTAATCCAAAAGCACGTAAGATGACAAATTATAATACAGCTTCTATTTCATCCCCCAAGGGGTAACCACTACCCTCAATTTGTATACTTTCCATTCAGATCTTTTAATAAAAATGCACATTTTGCATGTATCATCTGCACATTTTTCAGAACTTGAGTAATGATATCAACATTCTTGGCATCACTTTCTAATAATCTAGATAGTTAATCTTTTCATCTTCCTTGTTCGATCCCTGAGTTATCCTTTCCTAACCAGAAAAATATTCCATGTTGCACGGAGTTTCACTTAGCATCTGTTTAAGAAAAATACCATTGGAAAATCCAACCTAGAACTATTGAACCAAAAAAGATAGGTGAAAGTGAAACAAAAGAAAAGAAAAAAAATCAAGAAATATCAATAGGAAAAATGGCAAAATAAAAAAGATCTGAGAAATAACGTGGAGCTCATCTAAGGACCTAATGGAAGGATTTTTACACCCTGAAAAAATATGGGTGATGGGCCCAGAGATTAGACACATTTGAACATTGGGTAAAATACAATACATTATAAAATTAACTTCTGTTTCTTTTTTACACAGTGACTAGAACATTTTTTAAATTGTGTAAATGGCTTGCATTATATTTCTGTTGAACAGGGCTGGACAGAAGACAGCAGAGAATCAATTGGATTGAGTTTTCTCACTAGACTGGCTGGTGATTTTTGCCTTTGCACACATTAATTAACTGGTCACTGATTCTGAGCTGGAGTAGAGTAGCAGTTGAATCAAAGATAAGCACATGAGCAAAATTGTAAATAAGACAATTATAAATAATTATTGTGAACAGAAGGAAGACAGTAATGAGTAGAAGAATAATTGGCCAGGGTGAGGGGTGGTTTCTTTAAATGAAGGGGCAGAAAGAGAAGGCTTTACAGAGGAGGGACACTGGAGTTAAGACTGAAACGATAAGGATGAGCTAGAAGTGCAAAAAAATCTAGATTAGATGAACATCTTACAGAAATGTTCAATGATTGCTTTAAAGTCAGAGAGCTAGCTGCTGAATCAGATGAGAATGTGATCTCAGATTGGTCTGTCCCCAGCATCTGTGTTCCTAATCACTTATGAGATGTGTTACTTTCCCCTCTGACAAAATTACCGACACTTAATACCTCCCTCCCACCCAATTACATGGAACCTGTCTTTTCACAATTAGATTCTGAAGAGCAGAAATCCAGAACAACAGTTATATGTGTGTAGATGTGTGGCATATATTCAGGGAAAGCATCCTTTCCCACTCTGTTCAGCATCTTGATTACCTGTCACAAGAACCAGTAATCAAAATCATAGAGCAAGAATCAGTGGAATAAAGAAATGATTTCCGAGGAAAGGAGTTATAACCATGTATCTTTCCAAAGCTATGACGGAGTGGAGTCAGGCTAATAAACTTGAAGAATAGAATAACCTAGTATGAAAATAATGGTGATTATGGGAGGGGAATGGTGGGTAGGGCTTTTTGAACAAGGGACCAATTAGTGCTATGATCCCATGGGGTGTTATAAATCTGGAAGGGAACCATCCCTCAAGATTTCTATGGGCTGAAAAAAAAAAATGCATGTAACCATGCACAATGAGTTGCAGACTTTTTTTTTTTTTGCAGACTTTTATAAGCACAGCTGGATCAGGGGTACTATCTTTCTCTCAGACATTGGGTCTCTAGTATTTCTCTTGAACTCTAGGGGCTGCTATGAAATTACAAATGTGTGGTATGAAGATACAGATCTTGATTTCTTTTTCTTTTTCTTGATGTTGTGGCTAAAAGTTGAAGTGATTGAAGAGCCCCAAAGGACATTCAGATTCACAGATTTGGAGAAAAGCCAATGTACTGTGTCAAAAGAATAATTCAAGTTCTAAAACTTCATTTTTGTTTAGTAAGAAAAAAGATGTGTCTAGTTCAGACCTCCCTCTTGAGTTCAGGCTTGTAGATTCAGTCCCCGACTTGACATCCAACTACCAATAGAAATCTGAATATCTCATGAGCATCCCAAATGAAACATGACTAACATTCAATCTTCGGTTTCCAATTCTAGTTTTTCCTGCCTAGGAGAAGTATCACTACTTAATTACTCTACACTCTTCTCACATCCATTCTATCTTTAATCAAATTAATTCTACCTCTGTTCATCTCCAGATGTCCTCAACCCAGTCCAAGATGCCATTATCCTACATGACAGCAATAGCCTCTGAAATGGTGCCCTGTCTTCTATCCTTGACCCCAACCCTCAGCCATAATTCAGATGGAAGTTACAAAGTCCTCCCTGAAGGCCTTCAAGCTCCAACTGAAAAGAGTAACAAAGAACTGGTGGTCATTTAAAAAAAAATGCTACATTCTTACTGAAGTTAGTACCCAAAGAAATGCCTTCCTTGGACATTCCCACAGCTTCTGATCCCTGCTCTTGACCAAGATGAAATATAAAATTAAATAAAAATTGATATCAATCTCATCCTCTACAAAATCAATTGGTTGACCTACCAAAACAGGGCAGGCCTCTGTTTAGACTTAAGGTTAACTCAGTCTGGTTCTGAATCTCTTTATAGTAAGCTGTTCTAGTCACTTATTAGGTAGAAAGCATTCAGCATATTATTCAATCACTCTGGGCCTCAGATTACTTACCTAAATTAAACATCCTTATACCTCATTGCTAAGTGCCTTGTAATAAGCCCACTATTTGAGAGTTCAGATTTTGACCATGCTCATACACCATGGGGATATATATATAGTTAATAATAATTTTTAAGTTGCAACTTATAAAAGATCTGATTTTATCTCAAATCTTTATAGAACATGATATAAGCCTCATGAGAGTCCTAGAGTCCTGTCTTTCCATTCCTCTTCCCCAGCAACCTGAAATTACTTGAACCAACTCTAGATGCTGTGATTGTTTCTATAGCCAATTTTCTAAAAGCTGCTTTTCCTTTTTTGACCCAGCCAACTTGTTTGTTGGAGAATATTTTCCATTCCAGTTTTCCAAGCAAGCCCCTATCTGATCTGGCACTTTAAAAAAATATATATATTCCTGCAGGGTCTTCTTTTCTTTCCAACAGTTCCAATTTTTTCTTCAGTTGTCTCATCAAAAGAGGCTTCTATACCTTTTGCTAGCATAAATGTATTATAAAAAGCAATTTCTCTTGTTTGAATTTTCTTTTGCTCTGTTTTAAAATTACAGTGCATGTTGAGGCAGATAACTATAAAGTCCTTTTACATATTAAGGATGCATTTAAGCTGGGGTTGAAGACAAAGGTGATATAAAATTCAAAACTATTATAAATTTTTACAATTTCAAAATCCATCATATTAATTTGCTTGTAAGAAGAAGAAATATGCTTTGTTTATTCCCATGGCTCTTTTTCTAAATTTTGAAAATGAAGTATGAATATATCACTATATATAAATGAATAAAACAATTAAGTTATTGTGCTACTCAGCTTTTTGTTTCTGTAACAAAATACCTGGAAAAAAAACACCTTAAAGGAAGAAAGATTTATTTTGACTCACAGTTTCAGAGGTTTCAGTCCATAGTTGCTTGACCCCATTGCTGTGGACTTGCAGTGAAACAGAACATCATAATGGGGAGCATGTGGAAAAGCAAAGCTGGCCTCATGGTGGCCAGGAATCTGAGAAAGAGAGGAAGAAAGCCAGGAAAGATATGTCCTTCCAGTGTACACCTCAAGTTCCCTACTTCCTCCAGGTAGGCCTCACCTCCTATAATTTCCACCGTCTCCCAATGGCCCATTTAATTAGGAACCCATCAATGGACTAACTCATTGATGAAATCAGAGCCTTCATGATTCAATCACTTTTGCAAAGACCTACTTTTGAACATTGCTGCCTTAGGGCCCTTGTCTTGCACCAAAGACATGAGTCTTTGAGGACATTCCACATCCAAACTAGAATAATTATGAAAAAAAATTTACTATTTTTAATCAAAATAAGCCAACTATCAGACACTAACAACTCAGGGGATTGAGGTATGCTTTATTTTCTAATTTTTAATTTCAGTATAACATATACAGAGGAGAGAGAGTCCACAAATAATAAATATATAATTTGGTGGTATGTTCACAAACTTTAAATACCAATGAAACAAGCCAAAGAGTTAACTTTTAATCTTATTGAAAAATTATCAAGATGGGGTCTGGACAAATACCTGTATAGTTAGTTGTCATACATTGTTATGTTCATTGTAAGCATGAGGTTGTCTTTCAAACTAAAATGTGTATTCTACATTGTCTAACAATGGGACCATAGTTTACACCATATTTTTTCTACCCTGAGTGACCTGAAATGAGAACACGTTCTATAAATGAATATGAACCATATTCAGATTCAATTTGTCAAACATTAATCTATGCCAATCTATGCTTCTATTCCTTATTTTACCTTCTACCAAACTGAAATTTCCTTCTAAGTTCTTTTCATAGAAACTTGAGCAAAATTCTTGAGTTTCTTAGAACTTTTCTTCATCTACAACCTCTTTCTAGCTGAGATCAGTTATTCTCAATGCTTTAAATAATACCTATATATAGTAGAGGATAGGAAGGGCAGCAGAATACAACATACACTAGTATGGCAGTAGGTAAAAACGTAGATGTGTAACCGATGTGATTCTGCAATCTGTATATGGGGTAAAACTGGAAGTTCGTAATCCACTTGAATCAAATGTATGAAATATGATATGTCAAAAGATTTGTAATGTTTTGAACAACTAATAATAATAAAAAAAAAAGAAAAAAAAATAACACCCATAAGCTAAGGACTTTCACCTTACGGCCCACCTCTACCATATCACTTTGCAATGTGACTTTGCAGAAGCTCCCATCAAGAAATAAAGTCTATTTTCCCACCTAATGAAATCTTGATTGGTTTTATAACTTTCTATGGCCAACAGAATACTAGAAAAGTGATAGCATGTCAAGTGTGAACTTAAGCCTTTACTTCTTCTAGAAATCCTCCTGCTATCAGAGGAACAAGCCCAAAGTCCTCATTAGAGAATGAAAAGCCACATGGACCATTACACTAGCTGATAAGCAATCAACCCCCAGAAGCAAGGCCATGTAGCTATTTTGCAACTGACTACAGCGGGATGAGGGAACCCAAGTGAGACCAACTGCTACTTCCAGATGAATCCAGAGTAAATAACCAACCTGCAGAATCATAAGATAACAAACAATTATTATTGTAAGCTGCTGACTTCTGGTGTGGTTTGTTACACAGAAATAGTTTAATGGATACACCAGTTTGGCTTCAGTATAGATATATGTTCAATGCCAACCTAATATCTCCACATAGATTGGAAAAATGGCCATTTAGAAATAAGTCTATTTTAAATTTTTTTAAGAGATTGTGAGAGAGAGAGAATTTTTTTTATATTTACTTTTTAGTTTTCGGCGGACACAACATCTTTGTATGTGATGCTGAGGATCGAACCTGGGCCGCACACATGCCAGGCGAGCGCGCTACCACTTGAGCCACATCCCCAGCCCCAATAAATAAGTTTATTTTAAACTGTTGATTTTTACCCCATGTCCAAAACCTCCATTCTCCATCAATCTCCTCTTTAAAAGTAGCCCCACCATCTATCCAGTTCTTCAAGGCAAATATCTAGAAGATATTATTTAATTCTTTCTTTTTCTCACCCCCTCACTACCACATCTAATCCATCAGAAAGCCCTGAAGTGTCTGCTTCCTAAATTTTTTTTCTCTTGGATCCATTCACTTCCTTTCTGCTTCACTGTCTAAGCCGGGGACATCTCTTGCTTGTAGATGCTATCCCCATGCTACCTCTGAATATCTCCACACTTTTTTTACATAAAAGCTAGAGTTTTCTTTAAAAATCTTACAAGTTCATATCAGTCCTCAGTTCAAAACCTTTCAAAAACATTCATATAAACAAATCCAATTTCTGTTTCAGGGTTTCACATGTCCTACATGATCTAGTACCTGCTGTCTTCTCCAATCTCAACTCTTCTCACTCCCCCTTGAACTTATGACCTTCAGCCACATTTGGCCTTCTCACTTCCCCAGTCTCTTCCTATATCTCAAGATGTTTGGTTTTGCTCTGTCATCCAGTACAAATCTCTTCCCCCTGCTCTTTGCTCATCACTTGGTGGGCTCTTTTACATTTCTTTTCTTGTTCCATATTAAAGCTTATGATCTCTTGGAGATTTCTTCTGGTTACCCCCTGGGTTCTCCTGCCCCACTATTTTTCTCCATAATCTCATTCTGTCCAGTAGAAGTATTACTATTGCTGAGTCTTGGTATATTTGTTTAACTTTTTGCTTTTTCTTGCCTGTCTGCAGAAGTTTCAGGAGGGCAGAAACTCATGAGGTTTCTGTTGTATGGACAGGGCTTACCACAATTTTTGACCCACAATTTTTGAATCACTGAACATTAATTAAATAAATGAACCCAATAAAATTCTTCCAATAACACTATCAAGTAAATTTTTATTGCCTGATTATAAAATGCTGAGAGCCATAGCCAAGGAAAAATGATGCATGGCATTTTTGGTTGTAAGGTGACGCCAGCAAGCCATTGAGTTGATATGATTATGTTAAGATCTGCATTCAATTGGATATTAGAACCCTGCTGTCCACCTCGGCCTGCTACGGGACTCCTGGAGAGTTCCCATTGGTTGGGGAAGTATGGTAGGAGGGAATTCCGGAGGAGGGATTTCCTGTTGGTGTGTGTGTCCGGGAGAACGCCGCGTGTGTGGGTCGGCATATTTCCCGGGAGCATACAGGGTATTGGCTGGAGTTTCAAAAATAAAGTTTGTTCCTGTTTGAGTGGCTCGTGATTTTGTGCCCAGCCAGACTTCGGCAATAAAAAAAAAGAAATTTGTGAGCAAGCAATTTTTGTATCAATCATACTCAGAGCAGGTAGAAGATATAAAAGTATATATAGTGACCAGGCCAATTTTTCATAGAAGAGATGGGTTCAGAACCTTGTATTTCCTATAATGTTCTAATTCTCAACCCCCTGCTTCTAATGATTTGAGAAATAAGCAATTGTGCACTTGTGGGAGAGAGTGTTGTAAAAAGATATGACAAATAAAATGCCCCATTATGATTTAGATATGAGGTATTCCTCAAAAGCCTATGTGTGAGACAAGGCAAGAAAATTTAGAGGTGAAATGATTGGGTTATAAGAACCTTAACCTAATCAGTGCATTAATCAACTGGTAAGGATTGACTGGGTGGTAAGTGTAGGCAGGTAGGGTATGGCTGGAGGAGGTGGATCACCAGGGCTTTCTTTAGCATTTACATTTTGTTGTGAGGAGAGCTCTCTCTCTGTTTACTGGTGCCATGTTCCCAGCTGCTTTCCTCCTCCACACCCCTCCTTCATGATGTTCTGCTTCCCTTCCAGCCTAGAGCAACAGAGTTGGCCATCTACAGACTGGCACCTCTAAAACCATGAGCCACCTAACAAAATTTTCCTCCTCTAAAATTATTGTCAGGTCATTTTGTCACAGTAGTGAAAAACTGACTAAAACATGCCCCAATTCATACTAGGTGTTTCTCACCCTCCTTAGAGTGACATGTCCTCACACAATTGAATCCAGGTACAGGAAGGAAGGGACAAACAATAATGGCCTTTCCTCCTAATTCCATCTTAGCAGAGATGAAAAAAGTTCCCAAAAGCCTCCAGTCAATTTCTACTTACATTTAACTGGCCGGAATTTAGTCTTATTCCCACTTCTAGACATATCCTTTATGAAGGAGCCCAAGATTGCCATATCTGGTTGACATTCACCAATATTCTTTATCACTCAGGTCTAGGTTTGCCACCATATAAGTATGATCGACCATGCAAGCAACAGTATCTACTACAACAATTCAATAATCCTGCGTTCTTTTGTCCAACCTTATCCTAGAAAGCATGTATGCCATGGATTAAGCAAATGATCTGAGAAACTTGGGGTTAAACCTGATGGCACGGAGCCTCAACAAAGTTACAGTCTACTTTTCTCATTAATCAATGAATCCATGGGTTGCACCCAAAGAATTTCAACATTCTCCTCCTCCTGGTAATGGAAGATTTATATACCAGGCACAGAATTTAAAAAAAAAAAACATTATAATAAGGCAATGTCCTAATGACAAACTAAAATTATCCTGATAAATAAATCCAGCCATGTTGCAAATTAAACACTTAACAACCTACATATATGCCAATAAAATAAAAACACTTCTGCTAAACCCCAATATTCCCCTCTCTATAAGATGATTTTTATTTTCCATAAAATTTAATCTGTGTTTCTGTTTCACTGCAGTCATGCAGGAGTGCTGAAAACTATGTACAGACTAATAGAGGCAAGTATGGCTTGTAGAGTTGGCCTTTGTGAATTGGGAGACTGAGGATCTTAGGTAACTCCAAGAATTGCCTGTATGAACTTGAGCAAGTCATTTCATTTCTTCACTGAAATAAAGAGATCAAATAAACGGAGAGATTTCTAAGTTCTAAAAGCTTATGATTACATCTCATATCAAAATTGAAGCCAGCTTGGACAATATATCAGTAAGGGTGATTTTTGCTAGCACCTATAACAGCCCCCAAATTATGGTGGCTTAACACAACAAAAGTTTATTTTATTCATAAAAATCCAGTGGGCTCA